CTTCTCCTACTGCTACAACTTATATTTTATGGAAACCTGTATCTTCATTTATGGTATTTAGTAACTGTGTAGAATTCGATATTTGTTATCTTAAAATTGATTGAGTACGCAGTGCGCTGATCCCATAGGCATACTTCTATGTGCTCTTAAAAATTCGATATAAATTAACATTGATACAATGCACAAATTGGTTGAAATTATGCTATTTATTATTTTTTACTAGAAGACCCGTTAAATATGTAAGTAGGTTGAAACATTTTAAATCATTGAACTATTTATTTACTTCTTCTCGAGTGGTGGGTCTCCCGGTTACGCCTCTCGATAAAATTCAAAACGCAAAGAATAATGTGGCTCGCATTGCTCTGTGCAAATGCTAAAACACTTCTGAGAGAGCTGCATTGGCTGCCGGTCATCATAGAGTACAAAATTGCAACACTTTATTAGCGCTGCTTGCATGACCTGGCGCCGTCCTATCTCAAGGCACCCATGACGTCTTATGTACCCACTAGATCACTCCGTTCATCCAATAATGACACTCTCTGGATGCCGCGAGTCCGCCTTGAGGCCTAAGGAAGGCGCACTTTCGCTTTTGCTGGCCCAAGAATCTGGAACGCCCTTCCTGTCGCTCTCAGAAACAGCTAGACACTGCAGTCTTTCACAACTAAGGTGAAAATAAATCTTTATTTTGCACTCACCTGCTGGGGTAATGTAGTATAGCTCGTTGTTTTCAGCTCGCTCACATTCCTCGATGTAGACTTTGTATTGTGTTTTGTATTTTATTTGTGGAAAAATATAAATGGTCATATTTGGTTGACTTTATACCGCGCTTTGAGCCTAAATTAGGGATGAAGCGTGTTTTTGCAATGAACTTTATTACTACTATAATTTTTATTATTATTGTTCCGACAGATGTACATAACAGCCAGTCTGGTAGCCATCAAAACCCGATATATAGGAGATACTTTCTCTTGATGGCCTAGTGATAATAAAAAACTAGTTCATGGTTTGTGACCAATGGACAAGAATGCACAAAAACAACAAAAGTGAGTGAAATCCACGAAAATAAAACTACATCTTATTAAGACTTTGGTTTTCAATGCGTGTGTTGCAGAGGGTTTTCTGTCGGGTCACACGCTGAAACAGTGTATTAGAAGATTTACGATCTCACATACATTGTTAGTTAATGGGTGTCAAAACAATGTTGAATAATTTCATTATGCTAAATCTATTTGAATCGTGTTTGCTCATACATTATATGAATTCGGTTATGAATATTTTTTTAAAAGACTTTAAACATAAAAAAACAACAACCACCAGGCGCTACAAAACGTCTGTAAGTTCACGGATAGCCCGGAAACAATTTGACCTAAAATGGATTGTCCGAACGAACTTGACAAAATTTACAAAAAATTAGAACGTTTACCAACATCGCTGTAAGCGAAACAAAACGTGAAATTCAATTGAATGTTCGCAAATTAATTGTTGTTTGCTTTAAACTAAAATGAATACAAAAAGGAGAGATTCGACACTGACGAAAATATCATTCAATGAACTAAAGTTATGAAATAGCCTAAAACCGTCGTGGTGCAGCGTCATACTGACTGTACAGACATTGATAGACTTAGGGAAGTAGCTCCAATGATATTTGGAAGCCGTCATGTAATTTAGTCAAAGTGATATTTTATTTTATTTTTGTTTTCATAGTTTCAAAAAGGTTAATTTAAAAATATGTCCGTAAAATAATTCCCCCCCCCCCCCCCGTTGCTAAATATGGTTGTGTACTTTCTCATGGTAATTTTATTTATGGCTAATAATATATTAGTGTTTGGTAGTTTTTGGACGTAGAATGGATTCTATGGTGCACGATGATGTTAACAAGTAATGAAATCTATCAGAGCAGACTGATCAGGGCCTTAACAACTTAAAGTAATTAAAGTAACTATGTCTAGAATGTGACTCAACTGTGGCAAGTCTTTGAATTAACCATGAAAAGTATTTGACTAAACTATGGCATGTATTTGACTTAACTATGACTAGTATTTGACCTAACTATGACATGTATTTGACTCAGCCATGACAATTATTTGACTTAAATATGATTAGTATTTGTCTTAACTATGACAAGTTTCTTACTTAAATATGAAAGATATTTGAATCAACTATGACAAAGGTTTAGCTCAGTGGCTCTCAACCTTTCTAGTGCCGCAACCCCTTAATATTGTTTTTCGTGTCGTAGCGACCCCCAAGCCACACAATTATTTTCGTTGCTACTTCATAGCTGTAAGGATATATGTTTTCAGATGGTCTTAGGCGACCCCTGGGAAAGCGTCCCGCGACCCCCAAAGGGGTCGCGACCCACAGGTTGAGAACCGCTGGTTTAGCTCAAGGGGTAATAAGGGGAGAGACTGCAATCAGGTTTAGTACAAAATATTTTTATACCGTTTTTTCTGTTGTTTTGTTCGCTGACGAAGGCTTTCTGCCGACACGTTCGCTGTTTTGTTGCGTTTATTTTTTCAGGTTTAACCCTACTCTGTTTTACTCATTTTATTTTGTTTTAGCTCAACCAGGACTCGTTTTGTTTGTTATTTTATTAGATTAAAAAGCTGTGCCGTTAAGACGACGATACATATAGAGCTTTATGAGCAGCCTCCACGTACTCATCGTTTGCTTTTAAAACTCAAACTCATGAAATAGTATGAATATTTCTTTTTAAAATTGATTATGTTTCAATTTCTATTTCACTGTAATGGGATGCTATTAACATATAAAAACCCGATGGTTATTTTTAGACAGCCGTTGCTAGGATTATGTGTAACAGTCTAGTTGATGCAACTACTCATCTGTGTTGGAGGTATTTAATAGTTTTCATTTGTCGCTTTTATAAATATAAGGAAAAAACAATCTTGCATGAATTTTTATTTGTAAATAACGTTACTGTGTTAACAACTTAGAAGTGTGGTCTGTTTTCAAAATATGTAATGTAATAATATAAAAATAAACAAATAAATTATAAAATAGTTCTTCGTTTAAAAATGTATCATTTAATTAATGAGTTAAAAAGTTAAATGGGGGCATCAAGACCTGTGATGAAGCAATAGGTAGACTGGTATACATATGTTTTTAACATATTATTTTGTATGTGAAATTCAGTTTTCATATTGATGAATTTTTGCATTCCCTTTATAGTAATATAGAGAGTTGGAGACACGCCAAAGTTGCCTAGCAACAACGCTGTGGTCTACCGTAGTTTTTATTGATAGTACATTGATAAGATAAATTACTGTACATTTTTTAATTTTGAACTTAAAAATAATTAAATTGCATACTTAAGGTTGGTTAATATTTGGGGGGGGGGGGGTGTGCTTTTTGTTTGTTTGTTTGATAAACAATATTGGTCTACCGTAGTTTTTATTGATAGTACATTGATAAGATAAATTACTGTACATTTTTTAATTTTGAACTTAAAAATAATTAAATTGCATACTTAAGGTTGGTTAATATTTGGGGGGGGGGGGTGTGCTTTTTGTTTGTTTGTTTGATAAACAATATCATTGATAAATTTGGTGCTCATTTTCACGACAGTTCACGGTGACAGGCCCGCTCGATTGCTGTTCGATATTTTCAATATGTGACCACTGCAGCCAGGCGTCAGGTTTGTAAACTATTTTTAGAAACTTCGTCACACCACAGTACGCCAGCCGCAAAACAGCTTACGCGATCTAGTGATGCAACTAGTTACGTTTTTTTCTAACAATTATTTAATGAAGATGTACACAATATAATGGCCACTTTTTCGTCGACATTTAGTTTCCAATTCAAATAAAAAGCTTGTTATAATTAAATCAAATTTTAAAATAGGAATGTTTTAGAAAAAAAAAATGAAATCATTTTCCTTTATTGTTTGACATAAAGTGGTTATTTTTATGAATGGTAGATTTGGCAGGTGTTCTTTTTTTATGAATTCAAACGTAGCTAAATGTGGATTTACATTTATCTCATGCCATGGAATAACTTGCTGAAAATTTTAATAATTTGCCCGCCCCTTCCAGCGAATGCCTGAACTACTACTCCCAAATCCACCGCGGAATTATTGCCTGAAAGAAACTGGTCAAAAAGCATAGGCCTGACTATGCCGTAATTCTTTTCATAACATAACATCAATAGTAGGCTATAGACAGTGCCGTTCCCAGGAAAAGCGGTGACCAGGGCGCACAATTAAGAGGATTTTGCCGCCCCTGTCCACGTGACGTACATGATATTTTATCGTTTAATTCACTATTAAGGGCCTATCTTAAGGCGATTTTTGCTGGACCCTGATATGGGGCTCCACGGGTGATTTGCCCTCTCGCTCCCTTCTTAAGATGGCCCTAGGTTTATACAGGGTGAGGGTTCTCACTGCACTGCTGTGCCAAGGGGGTCCATTGCTGTAAAAATGGCCTTGGAGCTAGTTATATTTCTTTTATCTTTATGAGTGTTTTTTCTTAAATTTCTTATAAATAATTATAGTATGATGATAGAACTATTCAAAAATGTCTTCTCCAACTCCTGCTCTTCATTATGTTTATTAAAAAATTTAAGCGGGACTTTAAAAAAAACAAAAAGGGATTATCTTTGCTTTCACTAAATTAAAGCCTTGTCCTTAAATGTTGAAATAAAAAAAAATTTGAACCAACTTTCAATTACTTCTCAGTTTGAGACTATTAACTTGAATTTATCTTTATATACATGCGTTTTATGTAATTTAATATAATAATCCTTCGCAGGTACCATATGGATTCATTATGGCAAGAAAAGTGTCTGAAGATTTCTGGGCTCGAATCATTGCAAGCACGAAAACGACAGACAACGATTTCAAATTATCAATGATTGAATACCCGTGTTCATTCAACATTGGTACATGCAACAGTACACTGGACTCTAGCGCGCCTTTATTGACCTATGAACATACTGAGCCGGATTTTGCTTACTTCAACTGTAAGCGCCTAGAATATGAGCTAAAGGAAGAAAGTGATGATGAGGACTTCGAAGAAATTGTTTGGAAAGAAAATCTTCTGACTCGTGTCTTATATGAACTTGATCAAAAACAGGAAGCCATTGAATTAAATGAAAAAATTCTTCGAGAGACAAATAACAAAAATCTCACAGCATTGGCCAACTCGGCTTTTCTGAATTTTTACCAAGAAGAGACGAAAAAAGTCAATGAAGCAAAGAAAAAGTTACAAGAGCTTCAGAAGAGTGCTAATTTTAAAGTTGTAAAACTTCAGGCCATCATTGAACAAGCTTATGCCTACCGCAAACTTGGGGGCTGTAGCAACCTACTCTGTGCTATTCAACTTCTATCAAGCACATCAGATGCTGTCCCTGAACATGAAAAAGTTAAGTTTATGCTGGGTCTTTGTTACCGTAGGTGTTCCTCTTCTTTAATGATGTACATAGACGATGTCTCAAAAGTCAATAGAAAACAATTGGCTAAGGAAGCAGCGAATCGATTGCATGAGCTAGGAACTACGGCTAAAGATAAATCAATAAAAGCTGCAGCTATTGCCGAGTTGGCTTTTTTAAGACGTTGTGATGTCATAAAGGAATGTCGACTAATCGATTCCCTTGATTGGGAGGAGCTGATCGGCAATCTCAGCTGGAAACAACTTTGTTTTAAAGCACTTGAGGTTGATGAAGATAAAACGAATGACCGAGTTTTGAAAATGGTCGGTCAGATGTTCAAGTCAGATAGTAGAAACAGAGACTACGGCATTGAACTGTTAAATAAATCAATCTCTATGAACCCGTCAAGCCGAGCTTACCATCATTTGGGCTTAATCTACGTTAAAAAAGCAGTGGCTTTTGATAGAGAGGCAAAAGGAATACAAGATCACACAAAGTCGATAGACATAAAAACACAAAAACCTCAATTATTTCCTTATCCACATTACCACTATATCCAGAGCTTAGAAGAGCGGCTTAGTTATCACCTAAAAGTCCCAAAGAAGAGATTACAACCTTTTAGTGATGGTAATCCATATATTAAAAATGCTGAAGAAAATTTGAGAAAGGCTGTTGAGGTCAGTTTCCATCTTAATATTGTAGCGCAGTATGATTTGGCTTTTTTACTTGCAAGACAGTGTAAATATAGTGAAGCTAAGGGGATTTGTAGAGATGTTATTGCGGATTCCACAAAAGCTGGAGTTCAAAGGCGCTTACATTTTGTCAATATTTATAATCTGTATGGCATGTGTTTTGTTTTGGAAGCTGAAGAAGCAGATGACGAAGAAACGAGAAAGAATCTTTTAGACCGCAGTCAAGACAGTCTTATGATTGCTATCCACCTGGCTACTGACATTGCTAAGTCAGTTCCGGAATTAAAACGATGTGCCACAGATCTCTGGCAAGCTTTCAATCAGCTGCAGACGAAATTCATCTTTCGAGGGGATCCTGAGAGTAAGAAGCAGATGTTTAAGCTCTGTGAGATTACAGGTGGTTACCGGAACTTGATGAAATGTTATCCGTTGATTGGCTAGATCAAGAATGTTTGGAAACTTGCCTGCAAAAATACATTAAAAAAAAAGAATTTGATAAAGCTGATCTCTTTTTGAATTTAATCGCCACTCGACCAAACCCTTGTATACTAAACATAAATAATAGCGAGACTGTAAAAAAATTGAGATTTGAACAAATGAAACTTGCGTCAGAAAAAATGATTGCAGAAGAAGATTTAGTGGATCCTATATGGAAGAAGATAATGGACGAAGTATATTTGAAACCTACGCTGGCCGATAGATCAGAACATTTAAATACAACATCTACAAACTCACAGGATGGTGAAAATAATGATAGCGTCAATTTATTAGATAATCATGGAATGAGATTCGACGTTATGTTAGTGAATGACAATGACAGCTGTCCAGATGTTGAAGACAGACTCTGGTCTTACCGAGCTTCTGGGTGTATGAAATGGAGCATAAAGGAAAAATGTGGATTAACTGTGGAACAAGTTCAAGATCTACGAATTCCGGGTCAGGTAATATTAACAAAGGACATTTTTAACATTTTCCAGTCTAAAGTTGTCATCTTTTTCTTTGATGGGATTGAAAATGTAGGCACAATCGAAAGGCACCAAGAAATGGACGATGACCAAACATCTGAAGCGATTAGGCGGCTAAGTTTGTCATCTCCCAGCAGTACTAACAAACCAAACATTGATTCTAATAGATCCAGGGCTGTGGTCACTAATTCTAATAGTCAACACCAGTTGAAACCAGACCGACGACAATGGACTTGTTCTGCTCATTTTAAACACTTGCTCGTATGCGCCATTGATTCAATGTTACGAGAGGAGAGACCGAGACAGGTCATAATGGCGGTACAAAGTGAAGAGGACAGATTGCTTATACCAAATGAAGCATTGGGAAAACCCGTTCTGGTGATCTCTGACGAAGACATTTCTGTCCTTGCTAGTACGTCCGCAGAGGATTTCTCTTATCAGTATGAACTTGTCATGAACATTTTTAAACAACTTGTTAGTAGATAGATCCACTAAGTGTCGGAATTTGTTCAGATGAAAAGGGCAACAATTACTTTTACCATACCGTTCCTCCTCTAAATTCTTGAAATGTTCATTCATTTAAAAGTTGATTCTCTTCGTGTGGTATGGAGTGGTTGATTGATAGTATTCCACAAACTTAGAGTTATTTATAGAAATATACCAATTCATGACGATTTGTGATGGTCTTAAAATTATCTTGTTTTACTTTAGAAAATCGAATTTATTTGTTTGTTTTTTTTAAAAATAAGCTATAAAACTAAATTTGTTTTTTTTAAATTTTCTTTAAAGAATAACAATCATTGTATAAACGAGCTGTTATCTATAAAGTACACGTATTATATATATATATATTTATTATGTTTTTTATTATATAATTTAAGAGAATGTACAGTTTAAATAATTTTCAGAATGAAAATTCTAAAAGTACTGTTTTAAATTGAAATATTTTTGGTCTAACAATAAGCAATTGCTTATACTATTATAATTCTTAAAAGACGCGAATAAATTTCACAGCAATCAAAAGTTATATTAATAATTTTTCGCACTATTAGTTATAATGTGTCTACTTCCATTTTCTAGAAACAAACATATAGTCATAGTTTTTTCGCTATATTCATCATCCCATCCTCAATGGTGTAAAAACTCCATCCCATTTTCTCAGTTGCTGAGACTCGGAAGACTCTGTAGTAATGATGAGGATTTTTGGGAAAGGATGGCTGAAATTTAGGATTTTTTCCGACGCAGGCTATACCCTGAACACATTTTAAAAGCAGCTGTCACTCGAGCTAAATGTATGAATAGACAGGATTTTTTTAAAGCCACTCATTCTGACACTAGGGATAAGTCTAAATTTATTTTAACTTTTCTTCCCCACAACCTAAAAGCTCGTTTTCTGGTTCTGAAAAACCGCTAAATTCTTATGGCAAACCCTGTCACAAATGAGATTTTCAGAAAACCTCCTCTTTTTTGCTTTCCGGAAAGACAAGAGCCTTAGGGACATGCTAGTTAGAAGCCTACTCCATGCTACTAAAGCACATAAAGGCACAAAAAGTTGCAATCGTAGCCGTTGTAACTCAGGTCCCTACGTGATTGAAGCTGATAAGATCACTTTCCCTCTGGAAATATTCAGAATAAAAGATGGCTTTACCTGCACAAGTCGCAACGTGATTTACACCATCATTTGCAAAAAGTGTGGTAAATTATACAAAGGAGAGACAGGTCGTCGCCTTGGAGACCGGTTCAGAGAACACCTCTATAACATAAATAAACACGCTCTCTCTCCGGTCTCCAAACATTTCAATAGTCCTAACCATGATAGTATCTCAGACATCCCAGTTACTGGTATACGCTATACTAGTAACACTACAGATAGAATATATATGGATAATAAATTAATAACAAGATTTGGCATGTTGTCTCCATATGGAATAAACCAAATCCACAATTTTACCTAGCTGCAATGTCTTTTTCCTGTTTAGTTTTTACAACTATGTTCAAATCACTTCCTTTCCACTCCTCTTTACTTTGTTTATGTCTGGTTTTAGCGCCCTCTCCTATTCTCTTTTTTTAGGTAGGATATGTATATTAATATTATGTAAATTTAATTTATACTTATTTAAATTTTTTTTTGTGTACTGATGAAGGCATGTGCCGAAACGTCTACTTGTGTATAATGTATAATTATTATTAAAGCGTAATTTACATTTTTATATTGACACAATTTGTTCGTGACTTATTAATCTAGTTATAATGTTCACGTCATTTTCTTTTAAAACTTTTCCACTTTTTCCATTTTGTAATTGCTGTATTTTTGATGAGTGTTGTTAACATCTTTAAAACTAATACACCTATTTCTGTAGCGGTAACTTTATAAACCCTTACAATAGCAGCGTAATTGCAGGCCACATGCAGTGCCATCTTAAGGCGTGGGCAGTTGCCCTGGACTCTCACGCTTCTAGGGGCATACAAATGCCCATATTGTTTATTAATAATGAAATATCTTCAAGTAATTTAATTGCTTCAAAAGTGTAGTTGGACGCTGTTCATCAAGTTTTTTTTTTTTTTTATTTTTCAAAATTATTTTTACAATTTTCAAATCAATCCCCTTAGACTATTAAAAAACAATATGCATCGATTTTTTGGTGATGCGGTGGTGTTGTTTGTTGTTGTTTTTTTTCATTTGGGGGGGAGGGGGTGTGCTTATTAAAGAAAATTAAAAGAGTTTTACAATAAACTAAGCAAGACATTAGCGTCGACTATTTTTCAGACGAAATTAACGACACAAACAAAACAGGTCCAAACAAAAATTTTGGAATTTGATTTAGCTAAAACTACGTCAACGGGAACGCGTTCTAAAAATTCGCATGACATTAAGAAAATATTTAAATTTTAGTTCGATTTCCTATTATTTCTGTTAACATTAAGCCAACCATCCCACCCCACCAAAATTCTAGAAATAAATCATAAGAAAAAAACTAGAGTTCGAATGATGTCAATTTTATTTTTATAAAGATGTAATATAAAGTACATGGTTGTAAGTGTTTTAGTCGTCAGGTCGTTTGTTTTTAGATTAGCACAGCGAGTTATTAAATTTCACAAATTAACACTCACTTATAGAAAATTGGAATCCATCTTTTTACAATAATATTAAAATACGATTTGAACAAACTCCAGCAAAATACCCTGACCCTTGACACTTTGACTCGGTCGACCGTGGCAAGTAATCGTTTAGACCGTGATAAGTATTTCTTTCGACCGTGACCAGTTTTTCATCCTACCGTAACCAGCATTTCTTTTGACTGTGACTAGTGTTTTGGTTTAAACATGTCATGAACTTTGGCTCACATTCTGAAAATATTCCACTCCATTTCACTTTGCAAATTTTTTAAGGCTGAGTCTGCGATATACAGGCAATTGTAAAGGTTGAAAGGGGGCAACCTGCCCCGGGTAGCACTTTGTGGTCTTATTATCAATTTTCGATATACACAGTTGTGTGGGCAGATTTTGGGACTTCACTCCGGGGGAGGGGGTGGTGGTAAATATTCAAGGTAAGCCACAGCCAATTGAGGTACGCAAGGTCTGACAAGCGACTTAGTGCCCGTGTTTTTTTTTTTAAAATTAGGACGAAAGACTATTCTCCCCAATAAATAGAGAGTTTTGCAAGTATCCTGGTTGACAGCAATAACATGTAACATATTGAAAGGTAGAACGGTGACGTGAATGATAACTAAACTGACTGAAACTATTTATTGAGTCATGTTCTATTTTATCACCTTTATTTTCATATTCGTGATTTGAATCTACCTTTCTAAGAAACTACCTCATTCTGTTTATTTGAATTCTGAACAGATTAATAATGAATCTGTTAAAATCATTGGCATACAACTGACTGTGAGAATGTTACTGAATGTAAATTCAGCATATCGTTTTTCTCTTCTCATGGGGGAGGGTCACGGGTTGCATTGGTAACATTGTGCCCAGGTCGCGTATTGAAAGAGCCCTAAATTTACACTTGAACTTGACCTTGTGGCTATTAAAATATCGACGTCATCCTTGATTCTCTAAACTCCAGAAATTCTAAAAATAGCTGCATAAGTTTCAATATTTACCTGCATGACACTGCCGTCATGGTTTGATCACAGTCATTCCCGGTGGTTATTTTGAGAGAGTTATTGGTAACATGTGAACAGTTGAGACACCAACTTCCAAGCGCAAACATTCAGCTTCAGTCAGGGTATGGAATAGTTTTACTTCTAAAGTTATTGATAATATGATTTTTTAGATATGTAACCTTTACAATAAAATTTTCATGATAAATATTTATAAATACTTATACAATAAACTCGATTTAAAAATAAAACCAGCTATGTCACTCTATTTACATGATACAAGTGTTGCTTACTTAAGGCACGCCAAGCACTATTGTAAGAAAAGGAGATGTAGGTTTTTATTCAATCGACATCTACAGGCTTAATTGTCTACGGCAGATCATTGTGAGGAGGGAGGGGGCTCGTTCGATAACAGCTACGCTTCCCCTGTATCTGGGTCGTTCGAGAAGGGATTGGGGGTAGCCAACCCCAGTGTCAACAAAATCTTCATTATATAATTATATATATTTTTATATATATTTGTGTGTGTGTGTGTGTGCATACAATTATGTGTGTGTGTATCGTATATCATGTATTTATGAAATAAGGGGCGCTATTTTCAAACTTTGTCCCGGGCGAAGATTTTCCGTCGCTTGACTCCCGTCTGGAATATCAGTCTCTAATAATATTTAATGAAGTATACTAGCAGTAAGCAGATCACCAGATTCCTTTGTTGAGCTGGCATCCATGTAACACGATGCTCCCCAACAGAACTGTCGCTATGTGTAGTTAATTACATTGCATTTATCTTTATAGGTTGTTGTAAATGTTATACATCTATAATAATTTCTTATATAATTATAGTATGATGATAGGATAATGCAGCAATGTCTGTTGTAACTCCTGTTCTTCATTAAGCTCATTAAATATTATTTAAACTTATCTTTAAAAAAATAAAGAATTATGCCTGGTTTAATAAAAATTAAAGCCTGATACTTCAATGTTAAAATAATAAAATTTGGACCGAATCTCCCTAATTCCTCATTTTGAGACTATTAACTTGGATTTATCTTTATATACATTCGTCTTATGCAATTTAATATAATAATCTGTTACAGGTAGCATATGGATTCATTATGGCGAAGACTGTGTCTGATGATTGCTGGGCTCAAACAATTGCATTTACGGAAAATGCAGATAAAAATTTTAAATCATCAATTATTGAATTTCCGTCCACATTCAACATTGGGACATGCAACAGTACACTGGACTCTAGCGCGCCTTTATTGACATATGAACATACTGAGCCGGATTTTGCTTACTTCAACTGTAAGCGCCTAGAATATGAGCTAAAGGAAGAAAGTGATGATGAGGACTTCGAAGAAATTGTTTGGAAAGAAAATCTTCTGACTCGTGTCTTATATGAACTTAGTCAAAAACAGGAAGCCATTGAATTAAATGAAAAAATTCTTCGAGAGACAAATAACAAAAATCTCACAGCATTGGCCAACTCGGCTTTTCTGAACTTTTACCAAGAAGAGACGAAAAAGGTCAATGAAGTAATGAAGAAGTTACAAGAGCTTCAGAAGAGTGATAATTTTAAAGTTGCAAAACTTCAGGCCATCATTGAACAAGCTTATGCCTACCGCAAACTTGGAGGCTGTAGCAATCTACTCTGTACTATTCAACTTCTATCAAGCACGTCAGATCCTGTCCCTGAAGATGAAAAAGTTAAGTTTATGCTGGCTCTTTGTTACCGTAGGTGTTCTTCTTTAATGATGTACATAGACAACGCCTCAAAAGTCAATAGAAAAACGTTGGCTAAAGAAGCAGCGAATCGATTGCATGAGCTCGGAACTACGGCTAAAGACAAATCAATCAAAGCTGCCGCTATTGCTGAGTTGGCCTTTTTAAGACGCATTGATGTCATAAAGGAATGTCGACTGATCGATTCCCTTGATTGGGAGGAGCTGATCGGTAATCTCAGCTGGAAACAACTTTGTTTTAAAGCACTTGATGTGGATAAAGATAATCCGAATGACCGAGTTTTGAAAATGGTCGGTCAGATGTTCAAGTCAGATAGTAGAAACAGAGACTATGGCATTAAACTGTTAAATAAATCAATCTCTATGAACCCGTCAAGCCGAGCTTACCATCATTTGGGTTTAATCTACGTTAAAAAAGCAGTGGCTTTTGATAGAGAGGCAAAGGGAATACAAGATCACAGTACGTCAGAAGTCATAAAAACACCACAATCTCAAGTATTTCCACATCCACATTTCCACTATAAAAAGATCCAGAGCTTAGAAGAACGGCTTAGTTATCAACTGAAAGTTGTAAAAAAGAGACTACAACCTTTAAGTGATGGTAATCCGCATATTAAAAATGCTGAAGTCAACTTGAGAAAGGCTCTTGAGGTCAGTTGCAATGTTAATATTGTAGCACAGTATGATTTGGCTTTTTTACTCGCAAGACAGTGTAAATACAGTGAAGCTAAAAGAATTTGTAAAGGTGTTATTACGGATTTCAGAAAATGTAAAGCTGGATTTCAAAGACGCTTACATTTTGTCAATATTTATGATCTGTATGGAATGTGTTATGTTTTAGAAGCTGAAGAAACAGACGATGAAGAAATGAGAAGGATTCTTTTAGATTGCAGTCAAGATATTCTTATGGATGCCATTCGCCTGGCTACTGAGATTGCTGCGTCGGTGCCGGAATTAAAACGATGTGCCACAGATCTTTCAAGCTTTCAATCAGCTGCAGACGAAATTCAGATTTCAAGGGGATCCTGAGAGCAAGAGGCAGATGTTTAAGCTCTGTGAGCTTGTAGCAGATTACAGGTGGTTACCGGAACTTAATGAAATGTTATCCATTAAAAACTCTGAGTGGCAAGATCAAAGGTGTTTAGAAATTTACCTGCAAAAATACATTCAAGAAAAAGACTTTGATAAAGCTGATCACTTTTTGAACTTAATCGCCACTCGACCAAACTCTTCTATACTAAACATAAATAATAGCGAGACTGTACAACAACTGAGATTTGAACAAATGAAACTTGCATCAGAAAAAGCGATTGCAGAAGAAGATTTAATAGACACAATATGGAAAAAGATAATGGACGAAGTATATTTGAAACCGTCGTCCACCGATAGATCAGAACATTTAAATACAACATCTGAAAACTCACGAGATGGAGCAAACACTAAAAACTCACAAGATGGAGCAAACACACCAAACTCACAAGATGGAGCAAACACACCAAACTCACAAGATGGAGCAAACACACCAAACTCACAAGATGGAGCAAACACACCAAACTCACAAGATGGAGCAAACACACCAAACTCACAAGATGGAGCAAACACACCAAACTCACAAGATGGAGCAAACACACCAAACTCACAAGATGGAGCAAACACACCAAACTCACAAGATGGAGCAAACACACCAAACTCACAAGATGGAGCAAACACTACAAACTCACAAGATGGAGCAAACACACCAAACTCACAAGATGGAGCAAACACTACAAACTCACAAGATGGAGCAAACACTACAAACTCACAAGATGGAGCAAACACTACAAACTCACAAGATGGTGAAAATAATGACAGCACGAATTTACTAGTTAATCACGGAATGCTATTCGATGTCATGTTAGTGGAAAACATTGACAGCCGTCCAGATGTTAAAGACGGACTCTGGTCTCACAAAGCCTCGGATAGAATAAAACGTAGTTTAAGGGGAAAATGTGGATTAACCGTGGAACGACTTCAAGAGAGACGTATTCCGGGTGACCCACATTGGAAAATGTCTTACATTCGCAAGTCAAAAGTTGTCATCTTTTTTTTTGGCGTACCTCAAAATGTAACCACAACAGACACAAGTAGCGTAGTGGACGAGGACCAAACAGCTGAAGCGATTAGGCGGCTAAGTTTGTCACATTTTAGCGGTACTAATGAACCTGACGGTGTCTCTAACAGATCCAGGGCTGTGGTCACTAATTCGAATAGTCAACACCAATCACAAACATACCCACGACATGTCAATTGTTCAGCCCACTTTGAAGATTTGCTTTTATGCGCCATAGGTTCAATGTTACGAGATGAGAGACCGAGACAAATCATAATGGCGGTACAAAGTGAAGAGGACAAATTACTAATACCAAGTGAAGCATTGGGAAAACCCGTTCTGGTCATCTCTCACGAAGACATTTCTGTCCTTGATAGTACTTCATCGGGGGATTTACCTTATCAGTATGAACTCATCATGAAAATTTTTAAACAACTTGTTAGTAAATAGATCCAATCATTGTCAGCCTTTGGTACAAGCGAGAAGGTCAACTGCCTCCGGTACCAATTTTGGCGGCGTCATTTTGATTCCAAACACAATTTTGTACTTTAAAATTTTCAAGTGGAAGAGGCGCCAAATTTGTGAACTGCCTGGCGCGCCAATTAGGTTACGGTTGGCTCTGGATCCATATGTATGTGATTTGACGACCAACAAAGGTTTTCGTGAAGTGAATCGTAAAATGTGAACTATTGACAAAAAGGATTATGCGTCCGTCACTTTCTGGCTATAGTTTTTTTCTCAAACTTTCCGAATGTGATGAACAGTTAGTTTCCCACGTTGATAACTTAAGGATTAAATTCTATCTTTAAATTCTTACAATTCTTTCACATCTTGAAAGATTTGTGTCTGCAAGGGTTTAATCATTGTTTATAGGACTCTAGAATGTAGCGTTTCATTTTGATGAAGATTTTTATTAGACTGATACATTTAGTTATAGTTGTGTTCAGGAATTGTCCCTGAAAGCTGACACTCCTCATTGAAATAAATAATGTTACAATATATTTTATGTGATCCCATTCATTCTTATTCAGTCTGGGACTCATCAAACTTGTTACCAGGTACCCGTATTAAGCTTTTTAACAATTTGCATATTTTATAAACAAAATCACAATGAAATAATTATATTTTTTGCACATTTCATGTTAAATATTCGATTGTGAAGAAAAAAAAATGATTTTGAAAGGTGGGAGGTCTAAAACAATTATATATACATACATACATGTATATGTATATATATATATATATATATATATATATATA